ATCATTTAATGACTATGATAAATGATATGATTGTTAGATGCGATGATTGTTTGGTAATTGGATATAATAACTGTTTAATTGTAACAAGAATAATGAGAACTTATGTTAGGGGGGTTTGATGGAAATTACAGAAATCCATTCTTGAATGAAATCAATGTATACAATAGAACAATATAAGTTTAATAATTAGTATGTACTTATATAACGATAAGTGTATAAAACCATGTTCATCCTGAATCCATGTTGTAGTCAGATTTGGGTCTGTGTCCCTGACACCCAGAGCTCTTCAATAAAAGCACCTGCATACAATCATTCTGTGATTATGTGTTCCTGAACGCTAACATTAGGACAATTAGACTGTCTTGGGTGCCTAAGTAAGCAAACCAATGCTACCTCCCTTGCATTGAGTGGCCTGCTGTCAGACGTAGATACCATCAGACACACTACCTTGCAAAACAGGGCAGAATAGACTTTCTACTTTTGGCACATGAGCACAGCTGTGAGGACTTTGAGGGAATGTGTTTCATTAACCTCTCCCGCCACAGCAAGTCAATCCACAGCAGCATTCAAGTGCTGAGGGGAGGGTTTGAGAAGCTTCAGGTGGAAAACAAAGACTGGTTGAATAAGCTCTTCAAATCCTGGGGACTGAAGGGTTGGATGATGTCTTTAGTCAAGATGGGACTGTTAGTTTTCTTGGTTGTTGTTGCTGTGATGTTGGTTGTTCCATGCTTGTTTGGACATTTTTATAGTTTTGCAAAATTCTTTCAGCTCCATTTTTGTTAGGAAACAGAAAGGAGGAGATGTGGGTATTGGCCCAGCTGTGACTCGAAGTCAGCCAGATTTTACCCCAAAAGAACTGGGCATTAGTTTCAAGCCCTGGGAATCATTCGTTTAATTTAAGGTAAGCCTGAGAGTTCCCCCATAAGCCCGTGGTGTTATTATGTTAAGTTGTCCAAGTTCTGCTCCCCTATTGATTACTTGTTTCCCATATATGGTTATAGTTCCAGAATGTTCCACCCCCAAGTGTATATGTTGCTGCTTCCCCTTTGTTTTGGGTCTCTGGATGCTGCCCCTCACACTGTGCTCAGCTACTCCACATTTGCTGTTTCTCACCCTTTATTAAAGTTCTTTGCAGGCAGCTCCATCGAACCCACTCCTTTTAATTTTCGCCACCCTTGCCCTGAAGTTAGGGAACCAAAGAGGTTTGCTGCAGCCATCCTCACCACGACAGTGATGGATCTTAATCACTGCAGGTAATATTTGGTAGTGATGATTGGGTGCATTGTTGAGCTTCTCCTTCTGTGATTCTTTGCTGCTTTGAACTACAGTAAATTACACTGATTCCTTCAGTTCATGTTTGTTTCTTTGGTGCTGACCCTGCCCACTCATGAAACAAAACTGGCAATCTGGCCAGATCACAACAAAATGTCACTTCTTAAATGTAAATTTAAGGAATCAGTCCCATCTGAAACTCACAGATGGGAAGCCCTTCCCTAGAGTTTGCTGACTCTGGAGTAGACTGAGGTCAGAACACGGTGTGAGCAATGGGGCAGTCACTTTAAAGAAGCTGAACCACTGGATGTATTAAAATGCATCCAAAAATTGCATATGGAGAAAGGAAAACAACTTGTGAGTGGGTAAAGATGAGGATGAATTTTGTTAACAGCACATTGGAAACAGCACCAATAGAAGGACCAGTTGTTGTCAGTCTCACATGGAGCGACAGCAGAAGTTTGTAATCTTGAGCTTATATTAATTGTTCAAGTGAAAGAATATTAATATAATAAATAACTATATACATATGTGTAATAAAATATAACGTTTTAATATATATTTATAAACATTTATCTATGTTTCTATCTATATCTTTATCTATATATAAAATAATAATGTGAAATAATGCTGACAATTCTGATTTACCACCTGTGACTTCTCAAGGATCTAGCAATAAATATCCTACAGAAAAGCATTCTCCAGGACCTGAATGTCAGTGGTAAACTTTGTAAGACTGTATACAACAAATAAAGGAGGAATGGATGAAATTGGCTATTTTTATGGGGTTTGCTGTGTATCCTGTGATGTGGAATGCTTTGTTACTGTGAAAAATACAGTGATTAAGACTGCTAGGTTTTTCATACACCAGACTATCCACAATCTGCTGGATTGATTGAATGGGTAAAAGGGTTATTCAAAGAGCAGTTGGAAAAAGGAGATGGGAACCTGCCCCCATGGAGAACCCATCTCACAGATGTGCTTTATAGCTTTAACAAGGGTACAAGGGGCCCCCTGGGAAATGGAAACCCCCTGGATGTGCATGGCTGCACCCAATTTGCAAATACAACTATAACTATGAACAGTGACACTTTAACTTCCTGAGAAATTATTCTGGTCTGATGGCCTCTGAGGGGCCCTCCTAGAGGTTGCAGGGCTGGACCTTCATGCATTATAATTAATTAGGATAAATCAAAAGCAAATGAGAATTATCAATACTGACATAGAAATTCCAATTCCTCCAGGACACTTTGGTTTGATAACTGCTCACTGGAGCTTGGCTTTGAAAAGTGTTCCTGTTATGGGAGGAGTTGATGCAGATTATCAAGGAGGAATTAAAGTAATTAATGTAATTAAAGCCACTAAACAATAATGAGTAAGGTGTGATTATTCAACCCCATGACAGGGTAGCACAGTTATTGATATTGCAGTTTTAAAAACAATTGTGGAAAAAGGAGATGCACCTCCAAATATCACTGTTGTTGGAGATAAAGGGTTTGAATCCATCAGTCCTAATAATGGAGCCAAAGTGTGGGTCCAGAGGCCAAAAGGCCCTCCTAATCCAGCTGAAGGAACAGAGTTGTGGGGAAAGACAACACTGTTTGAATCCTGAAACCAAAATCACCAAGAAAAGGGGGCTAAAATCACCCACACAGGCTTAAGATCCACTCATATAGGTTTAAAATCACCCAAAGGGATCTAAAATCCCCACTAAAATGCTTGAAATCACTCAGATCTAAAACCCACACTAAACCTGCCCAACTTGGCCTAAAATCACCCAAACGGGCCTAAAATCTCAGGGACTGGGACCAAGACTGGGACCAGAACTGATACCAGAACCAAGACCAGCACCGCTCTGGGACAGGCACCATTACTGGGACCGAAACTGAAACCAGCACCAGAACTGGCACTGGGACAAAGACTGAGACTAAGACTGACACTGGGACTTGCTACCGGGAGTGCTCCGGGACCAGGACCAGGACTGGAACTGAGACCAGCACTGGCACCAGGACCTCTCTGGGACCGGGACCAGGATGGAGACTATCTGGAGAACTGCGGGACTGAGACCAAGACTGGCATTGGAATCAGCACCGAGACTGGCAGCGCTCTGGGACTGGGACTGAGGCTGGCACAGGGAGCACTCCAGGGCCAAGACTGGCACAGGTACCAGCACCAGAACCAGGACAATTCAGAGACCAAGTCTGAGATGAGGACTGAAACCAGAAGCGGCACCAGCACCGAGACTGGCACTGCTCTCAGACTCAAACGGAGACCAGGACCAGCACAGCTGGTTGACATTGAGATCAACACCAGGATGAGAATCAGCACTGGGAGTGCTCCAGGAGTGCCCTGAGACTGAGACCGGACTGGGACTGAGACTGACACTGGGAGTGCTCCCAGACAGAGACTGAGACCAAGACTGGGAACAGGATTGGCACCGGGATCAATCCAGGACCTCTGTGTTCACTCTGGAGAGTTTTGGCTATGCCCCTGTGCAGTACTGGGAGGGATCCCTGGGCGGGGTGGGACTGCCTCAGTTCACATTGTTCTGGTGCAGCTATCCCAGTCCATATGATCCCAGTCTGCATGATCCCAGTCTGTATGGTCCTGCATGGCACACACTCCAAAAGTCTGGAATACCAGTTCCCCCTGAGGAAAAGGTGTTCCTGCCCTTGAAGGCAGAGCGCTTAAGAAGGGGCTGAAAGCCAAGTCTACTTGCAAGATCTTACAGTGACATTTCACTGCCAGCCTTCAAAATTTCACTGGTTGCTGCTGTAGCTCCTGCATTGGGAATTAAATCAGAGCAGGGTGGCAGCTGCCCTGACTCAAGGGAGATACTGAGAGAGAAACAGAGCAGGCAAAGAGAGGCAGGAGAGAAAGGAGGACACAAACAAAATCAGCTGTGAAGGTGGCACTCCGGAAACAGAACTGCAACTGACTGAAAATGAATGGGACAGAAATCACTAGCTCTGAAAGTTTTATTTACTATCAAATACATCCCACTCACCCAGCCCCACACAATCCCAACCCACCGTTCCAAATTTGGATCCCACTTCTCCCAATCTCCTTCCAACCCCTTCTCACCATGGCGGCTTTGGAATTAAGTGAGTTTGGCACACAATTGAGATTTCTGAGGAGGGAACAAGGAATTTTGAGTTGTGATTGAGCCCTTTTGGGGTACAACGGTATGGTTTTCAGTGGGGCTGAGTTGCTATGAGGAGACAGATTGATCCCTCTTGGCTTCTGCAGTGCAAAGAGATGGAGAACACTGCCCAAAAGCCTCCCAGAACCCATAAATCCTCAAGATCATGTCCCCAAATCCTAAATTCCCTCTAAAACTCTGAAATGGTGGGACTTTAGATATCTTTGATCAGTTTCTTTCTTTTCAAGCCTGTTTTGCCTGTTTTTAAGGGATGAAGATGAATCAGAAGAAAATGAAGGCCAAAATAAAAGGATAACCAGCTAGGTGCCTTCCCAACATGGATCAAAGGGAATGTGGGTGTTGGAGAATTTTGCTCAGACATGGCTTGAAGGAAAGAGGACATGAAAATATACAGCTGATGGAAAAGTAAAAGGCAGCTGTAAGCAGCAGTTCCCAAGCCTGTTTCTGTAAATAACTAGGTTTTCAGGCACATTTTTATAAACAGTAGGGTTCTCAGGCAGTTTTCTCATAACAAGTAAATACCTTGTCCTTGGATAAAGTATGGGAAAGCAAAGTGACAAACATGGAGGCCTTGAGAATCTTTCATATCAGGGTGAGAACACAAATCTTGGTTTCAATAACAAACCACAGGTATTGAAAACAAAAGGAGGGGTTAATGTGTAATCTGTGACCAATGATGAGCTTGGGTTTTGCAATATGTATGAACTTAATTAACACCATTATAAAAATGTGCATGGTGAATCAATAAATCGGAGTTCGATGCTGATCAAAGGATGGGTCGTCTCCCTTCACTTCAATATGTGGGTCACCAGGGCTCTTCCCAACAACAGTCCTCCAGTGGGGAATGGAGTTGGAGCAGCATACGAAGCTCTTCCTGAAATCAGGACACTCACAGAGCTTTCCTTACTAGTGGCTCTGTTGGTGCTTGGTCAAGGCTGAGCTCTGTGAGAAGCTCTTCCCACACTGTGGACACTCATAGGGCCTCTTCCCAGTGTGCATGCACCGATGGCTGATCAGGGAGGAATTGTGCTTGTAGCCCTTCCTGCAGTCAGAGCAGCGGAAGGGCCTCTCCTCTGTGTGAATCCATTGGTGGCTGATGAGGGTGAGTTGTATGTGAATCCCGTCCCACAGTCACGACAGTGGAAGGGCCTCTCCTCTGTGTGAGTCCGACGGTGTATGAGGAGATGTGAGCTGATCCGAAACCTCTTCCCACATTCTGAACACTTGTAGGGCCTCTCCCCAGTGTGGATGACCTGGTGCTGGACCAGGTTGGCACGCTGGCTGAAGTCCTTCCCACATTCCCCACATTTGTAGGGCCGCTCCCCAGTGTGGGTCCTCTGGTGGCGGATCAGGTGCGAGCTCTGGCTGAAGCTCATCCCATATTCCTCACACTCATGGGGCCTCTCCCCAGTGTGGATGCGCTGGTGCCTGACAAGATGGGCATTTTGCCTGAAGCCCTTCCCACAGTCGGGGCAGTGGAAGGGCCTTTCATCTGTATGCGTGCGCTGGTGCACAAGGAGACTAGAGCTGAGCTGAAACCTCTTCCTGCACTGATCACACTCACAGGGTCTCTCCCCAGTGTGGACCACCTGGTGATGGATGAGGGTGCAGCTCCGGCTGAAGCTCTTCCTACACTCCCCACACTCATAGGGTTGTTCTCCAGTGTGGATAATCTGGTGGCGGATCAAGCTGGAGCTGACTCTGAAGCTCTTCCCACATACCCCACACTTATACGGCCGTTCCCCAGTGTGCATCCTCTGGTGCTGAATCAGGCTGGAGCTCCGGCTGAAGCTCTTCCCACACTCCAAGCACTTGTGGGGCTTCCCGCCATCATGAAGCTGCTCATGGACCACCAAGCTCTGGCTTGATCCCTGGCTGCCTTCCTGGCCCAGGTTGGGTCTTTCCACCTCAGATTCCCGTGATCTGAGTTTGCAGCCCCTCGTTGCGTGTGATCTCCGGGGCTTTTCTTTCCCCTTTGATTCCTGTGCGGTGGAGCTGCTCAAAACAGCCTCTTCCATTGAGGTTCTGCCATGGGGATTTGTCCTCCCTGGCCTCCACCTGCAGCTCCTTCTCTGGGGGAAGGAAGGACAAGGAGAGGATGGGATTTGCCTCCGTGCCACAGGGAAGGACAAGGAGATCCCCCCAGTGTGTCCCCAGCAGGACAGCTTTGGCAGCAGGGTTGTCCTGCAGCCAGGGGCCGTGCTGGACTGGGAGATGGAGCAGGAGAGAGGGGGAAAGGGCCCTGACTTCCTCCTCACCTGCCTGGGTGTTCCGTGGCATCTTCCTTGTCCTTGCACCCTCCTTCTCCATCTTGCCAACGGCTGGGAATGGGAAATCCTGGTTTGGGGAAAAACTAGGGATAAGCATGTTGAGTTTGAAGGTCCCTCTGCCCAAGTCCATCTCTGGAAGTCACTGGGCATCAGGGGTCGATAGAATCCTCCAGAACACCAAGATTCAGCTCTGAAAAAACCTCACAGAAGTTCCCCATCTCTGGTCTCTCCCCTTTGGTCTTTGGGGATTCCTCCCTGTCCCAGCTGCTTGGGGTCGTGCTCATATTGTGGGTCTTCCTTCTCCTCGGTTCCCGTCCTCCTCAGGCTGCTGTGCATCCCAGGAATCCAAAAGGTTCTCCTCTCCTCAGTCTCCCCATTTAGGGATGCTGGGGGTTTTTTGGGGTCCCAGGGTGCCTTCTCCCCTTGTTCTCTGCTTTGGGGTGTAGGAGCTCCAAGGAGTTCCCCCTGCCCCTCTCCAGGCTGTTGAAGGTCCTGTGAATCACAGCACTCCCCCTTCTCTGAGCTCCCCACTTTGGGCTCCTGGGGAACACAGGGCTCTTCTCCTCCAGGCTGCCTCTGCCGGCAGCTGCCACCGGAACCCCTCAATGTCCCCAAAAGGGGCCTTTTCCACTCAGCTGTACAGTTCTTCATTCTCCAAACATTGCCCCCAAAAAACCCCAACCCACAGAGCCCCCAGAATATCTGGGCCAAGGTCCCCTTTCCCTGTCACCTGCAGGATGGGGGGGTGATGATCCCACAGGTGCAGGGCTGCAAATTCAGGGAGTGCTCGACCTCGTGGTTCCTTCTCCTTTCCTTGATCCTCCTCTTCCTCCCACTCCTCCTCTTCCATCCCTCCTCCTCCTCCTCCTTCTCCTACTTCCAACCCTCCTCCCCCAGCAGCAGCCACACCCTCGGTGCTCGCGGCAGGAGTGGGGATGGAGCCGGGACAGGTCGGGATGGGCAGCGCGGGGCTCTTGGCTGCTCCCACCCACTGGGGCCGGGGGGAACCTGGCCCGGGCCAAAGGAGAGGAAAACTGGGCCTTGCTGGGGGCTGCACATCCACACTGGGGCTTGCTGGGGACCCTGCCTGGCCACTGCCAGCCCTTGGGGCTCCTCTTGGGACATCCAGGAGCGGGGGGATGCAGAGAGGGCTGGGGGATGCCAGGAGTGGCATCGCTGGGAGGAACTATGCTATACTGGGGTAACTGGAAACTTACTGGGGCAACTGGGAATGACTGGGAATTACTACAAGCATGCTGAGAGCAACTAGGGTATACTGGGAGTGTCTGTAACCATACTGAGCTGACTGGAACCACACTGGGAACAATGGGGACCATGCTGAGGAGAACTGGGATGACAATGTGGGCAACTGGGAGGGAATGCGGGTGACTGGGTCTGCACTGGTGGCAACTGGGCATGACTGGGACCACGTTGGGAGGGATTAGGATCATCCACATGACTAGGACTGTACTAGGGACAACTGGGTGAAACTGGCTTCACACTGGGAGGAACAGGGAGAAACTGGAACCATGCTGGGGGCAACTGGGATCCTACAGGGATCACAGTGGAAGCAGCTGGGCCCATGCTGGGGCAGACTGGGATCATACTTGCAGCAACTGGGACTGCACTAATGGTGACTGGAAGTAGCTGTGATCAAATGGGATCAGGCTGGAAGCAACTCTGGGCATCTGGGAGTGCTGAGAACATGCTGGCACCAACTGGGTTATACTGGGAGAGACTGAAACGATAGTGGGGGTAAATGGGAGCAACTGGAATCATACTGAGTGATAATGGCAGGAAGTGTGCCTATGTCAAGGTCATACTGGGATCACACTGGGAGTAAGTACAATAGTACTGAGAGTATGTAAGAGTGACTGGGATCCTACTGGAATCATACTGGGGGTAACTGGAAAGGTCCTTGCCATGACTGGAACCATACTGGAGGTGACTGGGAGCAACTAGGACCACACTAGGAGTTATAGTCACTCTGGGCATGACTGGAATAATACTGGGAGGATCTAGAAGACACTGGATGCAACTGGGATCATACTAGGAATGACTGGAACCGTACTGGCAGTGACTATGGGCACTACTGGGACCACCCTGGGAGCTACTGGGATTACAATGGGTGTGAATGGAACCTGACTGGGGGTTACGGAGAGCTACTGGGCCCATGTTGGGAGGAAATTGTGGACACATTGGGAGCAACTGGGATCAACTGGACTGTACTGGAACCATGCTGAGGGGACTGAGCTCACAACTGGCATCATACTGGAAGCAACTAGGACTATACTTTGGGAAAAAAACAAAAACTGGGATCATGCTGGAGGCAACTGGGAATAACTGGAAAAGACTGGGATAATTCTCAGGTAACTAGAGCCTCACTGGGGCAACTTGAAGTGTCTGTAACCATACTAGGGATAACTGGAACCACACTGGGAACAGCAGGGACCATGCTGGGGATGACTGGGACTACTCTACAGAAACTGCAAGTGATTGAATCTACACTGGGGGACACTGGATGTGACAGGGACCATGCTGAGAAGGACTAGGACTATTCTAGGGGCAACTGGGATCATACTTGTAGGAACTAGGAACAACTGGAACTATGCTGGGAGCAACTGGGATCATACTGAGGGTGACTAGAATCATACTGGGATTGACTAGGAGTGGCTGGGGGCAACTGGAATCATGCTGAAAGCTATGGGAGCATGCTGGGGGTGACTGGGATACACTGGGAGAGACAGGGATTTACTGGGATCATACTGGAGGCTACTGGGGTCACTCTGGCATTGACAGGGAGCAACTGGGATCACACTGGGGGCAACTGACATCAGACTGGGAGTGACTGGAATTATACTGGGATTAGAGTGCGTGTCATTGGACCCTGATTGGGGGTTATTGGGAGCTACCAGGCCCATGCTGGGAGCCAACTGGGGACATAATTAGAAGAACTGGGAGCAAGTGGGATAAAAACAGGGGCAAGTAAAACAGGAGATTCACAGAGGTAACTAGAAGTGCCTGGCAATAACTATGAGAAAATTCAGGGTACCTGGGATATACTGGGGCAGTGTCTGACACCATAGAAGTAGTGCCTGGGACCAAAGTGGGAGTGGCTGAGAATGCTCTAGAGGACCTGGGATCATGCTAGGGGCAAGTGTGAGTGACTGGGGCCATGCTGGGAGAGATGGGGAACCATATTGGAATGACTAGGACTATGCTAGGGGCAACTGGGAGAACTGGGAACACACGAGATGAAAGTGGGAGCAAGTGAGATCTTGCTAGGAGCAAATTGCATCATCATAGGGAATGACTAGGAGTGACCGGGCTCATAGTGGGAATGTTGCGGAAACTGGAAACGGGGGGAGCAACGAGGGGACTCATAGTGGGAGCAGCCATTTCCGGCACCAGGAACCCCCAACCCCATTCCCAGCTATCCCACCTGCTGGGGTCCTGGCAATCCCAGGGGTCACCCCCTCTCGGGGTCCCCGTTTTGCCCTTCTGGGGCTCTCCTGGGGCTCCCCAGAACCGGTGTCCCCCCGCCGGTGCCGCTGCTCCCGCGCGCTCCCCACGAGGCCCCAGCAGAGCTCAGAGAGCCGGCCGGGAAGCCCAACCCCCCCCCCCGCCGGGGCTCTGCCACCACCCACACCGGGACCCCCCCAAAACACCTCCCGGGGACCCCCGATGTCCCCCCGAGGGCCATCCGCGGCTCGGCTTTGGAGCCCTGCCAGCTGCAAACATCCCCCCAAAAAACCCCAAACCCAGCTCCCCCTGCCCAGGCACCTGCAGGATGGGGGACGATGGTCCCGGGGCTGCAGCGAGTTCAGGAACTACCAGGGCCATGAGATTCCCCCGTCGTCTCTTCCTCTGTTGCTTCCTGCTGCCACTCCATCTCTTCCTCCCTCCCTCCCCCTCCCCCATTCCCAAACCCCAAACTGTGAGGCAAAAGGGGTGGGGTACAGGGGACACGCGCTCCTACGAGGACCCAGTTTGGCCTAAAATCAGCCAAATGGGATTCAAGTTATCCAACGGGGTCTAAAATCCAACCAAATGGGCCTAATATTGCCCAAAGTAGTTTGCACAAAATGGCCCAAAATCACCCTGAATTTCCAAAATGGGCTTAAAATCCACCCTGAAAGTATCTGGTTTTGCCTAAAATGACCCAAATGTGTATAAATCCACCCTAAAATCCACCTGTTTTTTACTAAAATCACCCACATGGACCTAAATTCACCCAAACATGCCTGAAACCAACACAAAAAGGACCTAAAATCACCTTAAAAAGACTTGATTTGACCTAAAATTAACTAAAGAAGCCAAAAATCTAACTAAATGGGCCCAAAATCACCAAAACAAGGAACCTAAAATCACCCACACAGGATTAAAATTCACCCAGTATGGGCATAAAATCAGTCAAAGCGTTCCAAAATCCACACTAAAATTGCCCAGTTTATCCTAAAATCATCCAAACAGGCCTAAACTCTATACAAATGGTCCTAAAATCATCCCAGGGGATCTAAAATCCACTCTAAAACCCACAAGATTTAGCCTAAAAGTCATTCAAAGAGGCCTAAAGTCCACACTACAAGGCTTGAAATCACTCCAAAGGATCTGCAACTCACCCTAAACCTGCCCAGTTTGGCCTAAAATCACCCAAATGGGCTGAGACTGGGGCCGAGACTGGGATTGGCACCAGGATCAGCTCTGGGATCCGCGCGTTTGGCTGCACCCCTGGGCGGGACTGAGCCGAGACTGGCAGGGGCCAGGGCTCTCAGGAGGGTTTTTGGGGACACTGGGCTCTTCTGAGCTTCGGGGAATTTTGTTCGGAGTTTAGGGGAAATTATTGGGTTTTTTGAAGATAATTGCAGGGTTTTCGGTGAGCCGAGGAACTTTGAGGGGTTTGGATTTGGGGGGATTTTATTGGCGCTTTGCGGGGTTGTTTTCTAGGGGTGTTTGGGAGTTTATTGAAATTTTTTTGGGTTTTGTTAAATTTTAGTGGGGTTTACTATGATTTTGTTGGAGCCTGGAGTTTTTAATGGTTTTATTAAATTTTAGGGGGGTTGAGGGCATTTTATTAGAATTTGGGGGGCATTTAGTGGGATTCTTTGAGGGTTTGGGTTCATTTGGGAGTTTTTTGGTTTTTGGGGAGATTTTGGTGGGTTTTTGTGGGGCTTTTTGGGTGTTGCCAGGATTTCTTTGGATCTTGGGGGGATTTTGTGGGACTTTTTGTGGTTTTGGAGATTTTTTTGGGGGAATTTTTGGGGTTTAATTGGAGTTTTGTGAGGTTTATTGGGATTTCAAGAGATTGTGTGGGCTTTTACTGAAATTCTGGGGTGTTCTAAGGGGATTTTGTGAGATTTAATTGGGATTTTGTGGGGTTTATTGGGACTTTTGGGGGTTTTAGGAGATTTTGGTGCCTCTAAGCCCTTCCCTGCACCCAGGGACAACCATAAAGCCCCCCAACCCTGAAGCCCCCCCAAACTTCCACTAAAAACAAAATCCTCTAAAAATCCCAATAAATTTTTCAAAAACCCCAGAAAATACCTCAAAATCTCAGTAAAACCCACCAAAATTCAAAAAAACTTCCCAAAATTTCTATAAACCCCCCCAAAACCCCAATACAATCCCCTAAAATCCAAAGCCCCCCAAACCCACAAAACCCCCCAAAACCCAGTAATTCTCTCCAAAAACCACTAATTCCTCCTAAACTCCCGACAAAATCCCCCAAAGCCCAAAAAAGCCCACCCAAAACGCCCAAAAATCTCCACAAAATCCCCCAGACTCATGGGGGCTGTCTTGGATCAAGGGGGCACTGGCTGGAGGAACAGGAGCCACTTCAGGGGGCCCTTGAAGCTTTTTGGGGAGGGGGAATGATGGGAGACCTGCATAAAAACGGGGATTGGGAGCCCCTGTTGTGCCCCCTCTGCCCAAAACACCCAGACCCCGGTCCAGGGTGGGCCTGGGACCCCCTGGGACGCCCAAATCTCCCCCAGGATTTCCCAAATCACTCCTCCACGAACCCCAAACCCTTCCAGAGCCCCCTCAAGGTTGGCCCAGGACCACCCTGGACCCCTAACCCCTCCCCAGGTCCTCCATACCCTCAGAAACCCCTGAGACCCCCAGGGGCCCCCTGAGAGCCCCCAGACCCCAATCAGGCCCAGCCCAGGATGTCCCCGGAGACCCCCCCCCAAAAGCCTTGCCTCCGACCCCTCCCCAATCCCCTCAGGGATCATCCGCAGATCCCCCAGACCCCTCCCCAAAACCAAGCCAGGACCCCGCAGGGCCCCCAAAACCTCTCACACAACACCCCAGGACCTCCCA